TTTTATTGCACAATATTATATTTGTTATAATCTTAATAGGTTAATGTCAATTTTGATCCTTAACTTTATGATTTTATGTAATTTTTGTCTCTTAACTTTTTTATACCTTTTTTATTCCTCAATTATAAAAAATATATTTTTTTAAAATCTTTTCGTTAGTAGTCCATTCAATTTATATAAATATACATAATTTTAATTCTTTAACTAATAATATATGCACATTTTCACATTTTTTGTAGATGAATTTATACTTTTCAAAAACATGACTAACGAATAAAATTTTAAATTCACCTGCTAATATATATATATATAAATAGAGATTCACTTATATACAAAATTTATTTATTACACATATAAAATATTATCTATTCATCTTCACTTTCAATATTTGAAATTTATTACAATTTTTAGATAAAAAAATGATTAATTTTAATAAATATAATAAAAAGTGAATAAATCTCAATAATTAAAAGTTGAAAGATGAATAATCAAAATTTTGTGTAAATATGACAGTATAAAACTTGTGTGTAAATATATTTGTAATTATATATATAAGTATGGATCAAGTATGCTTTTCAGGTTGCAAAGGACGAGTTGGCAACTTTGCAATGAAAATTGATCTTGAAAAAGCTTATGACCGTATTGAATGGAGTTTCTTGGAATGGGTTTTACGTGATGTGGGGATACCAGAAAGTTGGATATCCTTGATTATGTTCTGTGTTAGTACATCCAGCTTTTCTCTTCTCTGGAATGGGGAAAAAACTGAGCCTTTCACCCCTCGTCGGGGGTTGAGACAAGGCGATCCCCTCTCACCTTACTTATTTGTGTTGTGCTTGGACAGGTTATCACAAATGATTGAGAATGCAACTAGGACAAAGCAATGGGATCCTTTATGAATTACACGAAAAGGGCCATCTCTATCTCATTTATTTTTTGCTAATGACTTGGTATTTTTTGGTAAAGCTACTATTAATAATATGAGAACATTGATGGATTGCCTTCAATCTTTTTGTAATATTTCAGGTCAGAAAGTAAATGCTAGCAAGTCAAAGATCTTTTCTCCAAATACAAACCGAGGATTAATTGATGAGATCACTCAATTTTCGAGGATAGAAGCAACCGATGACCTTGGTCGCTACTTGGGTGTTCCTTTACATCACAAGAGAGTTACTAGGGCGACCTATTATGACTTGCTTCTTAAAGTTAAAACCAAGTTATCAAGCTGGAAGGCTGCACAATTATCTTTTGCAGGACGCCAAGTGCTAATTAAATCAGTATCTTCCACAGTTGCAAACCATGCCATGCAGTCTGCAAAGCCTCCTAATGCTGTGTGTATGGATATTGATAGAGCCAATAGGGAATTTTTATGGGGAGGATCGGACGACAAACGTAAAATTCCACTAGTTCGATGGGATGTGGTCTGTACCCTTAAAGAGTTTGGTGGCTTAGGATTTAGATCAACCTCTTCCATGAATTTAGCATTGCTATCCAAAGTAGGATGGAAGCTTGCGACTGAGTCAGAGCCACTGTGGATTCAAATACTAAAGGCTAAATATTTCCCTAATTGTGATTTTCTTCAAGCAAAGGCTAAACAAAATGCCTCATACACATGGAAGGGCATTTTAGAAACTCAAGAATTGGTCTCCATGGGCATGGGTCACATCGGGAATGAATACATCTTTTTGGCTTAATAGTTGGCTTACTGATAGACCTTTATTTTTTGCAGCTACTGGCTCCATTCCTGAATCTGAGTTACGAAAGACGGTGGCAGAATATTGGAACTCTCATGGATGGAATTGGGGACTACTTAAACCTATGTTACATGATAATATTATACAATTACTAGAGCTCCATGTGCTTAATGATCAACATTTAGAAATGGACTCTATTTATTGGAAAAGCTCTAGTACTGGTGAGTTTTCTACCATGAGTGCTTATGAATTATTGACTAATTCTAGCCTTTCTCCATTGGCAGGTTGTTGGAGCAAGGTATGGAGTTTAACAGCACCTCCAAAGGCCAAGTCCTTATTATGGCTCATGTTGCATGATAGAGTTCTAACAAATAGTTCCAGATTTGCAAGAGGGATTGCACAGAATGATACTTGTCCTCGTTGCTATACTCATGGAGAGGATATTCTACACTTATTTAGGGACTGTCCGGTATCTAAAAGGATATGGAAGAGGTGGATTAATGATAGTCTTTGGCTTCGTTGGCAGCAAATGAACCACTTGACATGGATCAAACATAATCTTTCATGCACAAATGTTACGATTGAGTTTGATTTAGAGTGGGGTGTGGCCTTTGCAATTGTTTGCTGGTATCTTTGGCTTGGACGGAATAAAGCAGCTTTCGATGATGACCTTACATGGACCAGCAATAAGGAGTCTATGCTGAAGAATCATTTCATAGAGGCTGCTTGCCTTTTGAAGCAACATCATGCAAGCTTGAGAAGGGAATTTCAGGTAGGTTGGGATCCTCCACCAAGTGGATTTGTTAAGTTAAATGTTGATGGTTCCGCTCGCGGTTCACCTGGCCCTTCAACGGCTGGAGGCTGTTGCCGTGACGCATCAGGAAATTGGTTGTTTGGCTTCAATCAACAGCTAGGTGATGGCCACGCCATTCGTGCAGAACTTTTTGCTTTATGGAAAGGCATGGAGCTAGCTTGGAACATGGGGTTTCGACATATTATTGTGGAGACAGATTCTCTTCTAGCTGTTCAAAAATTGCAAAGTAGCTCCACAACAATCACATCATTAACTTATTGGGTTCAAAGGTGCAAGTCTCTCATGGAAAGAAATTGGACATGTGTGATTCGACATGTGTTTCGAGAGCAAAACGTTTGTGCAGATGCAATGGCATCTCAGTTTTATCACCTAAGGGGAAGTTTCCTTTATTTTGAACAACCCCCTGATGTGGTTCGATCTCTTCTCCAAGAAGATAATTTAGGAGTTTGTAGGCCACGTGCCACTAGATAATCCAATGCTGTAAGCATTGCCCAATGTACCGAAAAAAAAAAGTATGCTTTTCAGGTACAATAATATAACCACCCGAATAGGTCAAGTATCCACAAATATTAAATATACCAATACTCGTACTCAGCCCTAGAAGA